CCATGTGCGATGCTGGCGTACAATCGGGTCGACGGTTTGGCGCGCGCGGGACGACGCGGGACATTCCTGCAGGGTTGCACGCACCAAATGCACACAGAGATGCGACTGCTCCCAGTATTGCATCGATCTTCTTGTACCTGCACGATGCTTGTGGCGACAATAAAGGTTGCTTGGAATTTTTGTTATTCGGATAGCGCTGTCGTCACGACTACATACCATGTCTTCGCAGCATGGAGACGACGTGTCGCCACGACTCATCGAATGGCCGAGATGCTGCCGACTCGCTTTTCAGATCTACTCTCAGACACCGTAGATGTACAAACCAACGGAAATCGCTCGCAGGACCAATGTCGGATTGAGTGATCTCGACACCGCGCCGTCAAAACCAAAGACCCGTGTCTCGTCTGTTAGCTGATATGATTTGGTTTAAAATCTTTACACCGATAAAAGTCAGGCGTTGGAGGGTTAAACTCCACCAACTACTAGTACACATGTATGATCTACGTGCTAATAGAAGTGTGTCGAATATCGGCGGCCAACAGCTCTGTTACGTGCAGGAGTTCGTCGTCCGACTGCACGACATGCCATCCGTCGTCAGGATGCGCGTACGAGTTAAAGTCTTCAGGCGCGAGCTCGGACAAATCATTCGTGGCTAGGTTGAACTCGCAAGGGTATTCCCATAAACATGCCGCGAGCTCCCGCGCCTGAACATACAGGCGAGCCTCTTTGACCCGGAAGCTCATCCGTTGACAACCATCGCTTCGACATGCTAGACGCCTTGTGCAAGTATTTCCTGTCACCAATGCCATGTCGTCGTTCACGTGTGTGCTCCGTCGGTCTGGCGCATTAGCTCCTGTTCGCCTGTGGACCAGTACGTTCCTACCAGTATGAATACAATGTTGTACAGATACACCGGGGTTTCCTCGATGTCCTGCTTGTAAAGTCCTTTTGTAGCGTACAGTGAGTGCATACATATAGATGTCCAAGCTGCTGTGGTCGTCAAATCAAAGGATCGTATATTGCATACACCACCAGATCCTGGCTCCGTGCGATTCTGCGTTTGTCCAGCCATTCCGCAAGCGAAACCAACCGACGAGTGGCCGCGTCCTCAGAGGCGCGGCCGTCGGTCATCCAGGCCGCGGCAGAAGGAGGCCTCGTCAGTCGACGCCTTCGCCTGCTGCGAGCCGCGCCATCAGACCAAGCGACGTTGAGTGATGAGGAACTCATCGCCACAATGACAAGACGTGAGTATCCGAGGAAGACGACGACATGCTCCAGCCAGACAACAACAAAAACAACGGTCACCACAACCAACATCAGATCCAACACAGAACCAACATGAGCATAGAGCAAAGAGCACAGAGCACAGAGCACAAATCAGCCAGCCGCCGCCGCCACCGCCACCGCCACCTCCAACGCCATCAG